ATAATAAAAAAAATAAATAAAATTTTATAACATGCTCATTTGAGTAGATTTTTTAACAAAATTTTGATTATTTTTTTTAGATAAAGTAAATCCTATAAAATTAAAATTAATTATGTTTTGAATATTTCAAATGTAGAATCTTTTTAAATACCGAAAAATCCTTAGAAATTATTACTTTGATTTCTACTTAAACGATCTATTAAAATAAAAATATAAAAAAAANTTTCACCGTACCACTTACGGGTTAAATTTATCAGAAAAGCTTAATATTTTTTTTTATATTTTTATTTTAATAGATCGTTTAAGTAGAAATCAAAGTAATAATTTCTAAGGATTTTTCGGTATTTAAAAAGATTCTACATTTGAAATATTCAAAACATAATTAATTTTAATTCTATAAGATTTAGTAAAATTAAAACTATATTAAAAATATTATTAATTTAAAAAACTAAAAAATATTAAAAATATTAAACTCAAAGCCACAAAAAAATTAATGAAAAGTCGCGGATACGTCTTTCGGAAACAATGTTACCATTATCAACGCTAAACACGTACTGTCAGTATGTGTTTAGCGTTGAATCTTATAGAATTAAAATTAATTATGTTTTGAATATTTCAAATGTAGAATCTTTTTAAATACCGAAAAATCCTTAGAAATTATTACTTTGATTTCTACTTAAACGATCTATTAAAATAAAAATATAAAAAAAAATATTAAGCTTTTCTGATAAATTTAACCCGTAAGTGGTACGGTGAAAAAAATCAAACAAATAATATGGTTGGGTTAAGAGGTCCAGGAGACCGCACCTCTTAATTTTTTATGTAATATTTAGACTACATTTTTTTTATTCCATCACATTTTTGGTAGAACAATATCTTAGTAGTATTAAAAGAGATATGACAAACTTTTTTTCGACTTTAATTTAAATCATGTAAAGTAACTACTAAATTTTTCAGGAAGTTTTATGATCTGCCATGCAATAATGTACTTGATTTTCGTTATGTCCTGAATAGTGATGGGCATTTTCGAATATTTTAAACTATCGAATACTATTCGAATTCTTTTTATACAACCGAATAGTGTGTTTTTAGCATAAACTATCGAATAGTTTTTAAACAAAAGAATAGTTTTCAAAACTATTCGAATAAACTATCGAATAGTTTTTAAAAATATTTGAATAGACTATCGAATAGTTTTTAAAAATATTGGAATGGACTAGCAAATGGTTTCAAAAAGTATTCGATTAGTTCTAACTAAAATTTTTATTAAGTACACTTAATTATAATAAGAAGATAATTAACGAATACTTAAAATAAATTATTATACAATTAATAACAGTAAAAAGTATCATTTTATTTATTTTTAGTTTGTGAGACGTTGGTGAAAACTGATAAATATGGGTTGAAAATAAAAAGTTTTGTGTTAAACGCTTCAATTTTTATACATGTATGCCACAAAGTAATAACTACTTCATAATTTTTTATACATTTTCCAAATAAATTACAATACTAAATTATGTAACATCAATATCATACTAATTTAATTACTACAATAAATACTTATTCATATATTATACTTCTAAAATAAAAAACTACAAATCAGGAATAATAAAGGAAAATATAATTTCATATTGCTTTTGGTATAATCCACCAATTTCTTAAATTTAAACACTATCTATATATTTACATTGAAGCGTTTCTTATGGCAGTGATTTTAATTTCTGATAGTATATTTTATTGAGAGATTGACAGCAATATTTTTAAAATATCTTCTAGACTGGTGTATTGACAATATTTTTATGTCTACGTAAGAATTTTATCAATGTGTTTTTTTTTTTTATTAACACCACTATTTTTTCTAAGAATTTGATATTGAATATGTAAGTATATTTAGAATATGATTTCAAAAAAAATTTTTGTACGAGATTTTTTTATTGAACACTATTTATGGGATAATTGAATTGTATTGAAATTACATAAAAAAAAGTACACGTATATTTTAAAATAAATTATTTTTAACAGTATATATTAGGTCTCATCAAATTAAATAGTACAGTATAGTAAATAACTATAAAAAATTATTTAAAAATATAATACAATAAAGCTCTATATTTTATTTAAACATATTTTTACTGACGTACAAAAAAGATTTATATTCTTTATACATAGTTTTTATTAAATAAGTGATATTAAATAATAAAGAAGACATTCACTTATGTTCATTATAAATCTACCTAACATTTTAATAAGAAATTTTTCATATAAGATTTTATTACAATGAAAGTTTTTTCGTTTATTTTAATATTTATTGTCATTTTCCTCTTGCAACCAGAAAAAGGAGTTCATTGTGAAAATTATCATGCTATGTATGAAAATTATATCGAAAGGGTGGTGGGTCACATTTATTTAAAAATTATATCGTATCGAAAACAAGATTCAAATAATACTATGGATATAGACGAAGCTGTTCAACCAAATTCTAACATGTTAAATTTAAGACAAAAATATTGTTATACAATAAGTATACTCAATTTCAAGTACATTGAAATACTCACAAAATACCTTGATATAATAAAACTTATGCTTAATATGTGCCAGATATATCATAAAGAAAATGAATTGAATTATTTCAGTCCCTGTGTAGAAACGATTGAAAAAGTTCTAAAAATTTCCAAAACTATGTTTAAAAAANATGCTTGAAAAAGTTCTACAAAATTCCAAAACTATGATTGCAAATCTACACAATGCTATGAAGTTTTTAAGCTATATAGATATAAGATTTTTGTTTTCTGAAGGCATTATACCGCATCCTATAATTGAAGTAATTGACTTTATATATCAGTACATCTTAGGAAAAAATCAGGATACCAGCTCTTTAGATCTCAACAAATCACCTTATGAAATATCTGAAATGAAACTTGAGAATTTGACAAAATTTCTAAGAGATTTATCAAAAAGACTAGGCAAATTTTTTGACAATAACAAATTTATGTTACTTTATATATTAGATGATATGTTAAAAATTAAAATTGCGGAATTACCTAATAATTTAGAGCCTGCAAGAAAAGAAATACTTAATAAGTTTTTCAACGAAATTATAGAAGTTTGGTACAAAAACCTAGAATTTGAAGAATTTATCAATCCTAAAACAGCAGAGTAAGAATTCTATTATTTAATATTATTTTTTAAAACATATTATAGGTAGTATTTCAAAAGGTTTTTTAATAAATAAATATTTGAAAAAATAAAATTATTTCCTTATTAAGAATATATATTAATTGTTATCTAAATATACCACACTAATAATGTATGATGGCTTATAGTATAGTTGGTTTATCGAAAATAAATAAGTACATTTAAACTAGACTGTGCAACATCCTTGTATAGATGTTTTGATTTTTAATCAATATTAGAGGTATTGTATTTAATGAATTGTTTTCTTTGTTTTTCTAAGCTTAATTGTTTTGCTTCTTTTAATTTTAGAAAAATAACTGTGAAATTTTAAGTAGTATAAGTTCTCATTTTTATTTAGATATAATGCGCTTTAAGTTTCCGTATCAGTAACATTTATATCTTTTACACATGAGGTACGAAGTTCAAACCCGCCTGCGACAATGAATTTTTTTGCATTTTTTTCTTAATTCTTTTTGAGTCAGAAACAAATTTTTAATTCATTTGATTTTTATCTCATTTAGATTTAACATCTTCAATGAATATCACGAAAATCATCACTATATTCTCCCATCGTAAAAATATATTTCTTATTTATATTAAAATGATTGTACTTTTTTTGTAGATATCATTTATTTTCTCAGCTCTCAATTCATGTAGTTTTTTCAAAGATACATTAAATAGTCATAACTAGTGCCTAGTTAAAGATATCACCTTCCAAATTAAAAAATTTTCAATTAAAAAGTTATTTAACCAAGATTTTTCATTTAAACAATTAAATCATTCAATAAATGTTTTTTTATTGTCGAATTAGGTGTGATATTATAATAGGTTTCAACTAGAAAATCATATATAAGTACTTTGTAATTTATTAATCTTTTAACTTTATTCGCGTGTATTACAACCAGTCTATAATATTCCAATATATTATAGTAATATTTAATTACTATAATTGGCATTTATTTAAATAATATATTGCACTTTAACAATATCATAGAACTAAAGACCAGGATATAAATAAAGAAATAGCAATTTATTATGCATTTAGAATAATCTACTAGTTTTTTAAAATTAAACACTATCAAAATATTTGTATCGAAGCATTTCTTATGATTTTCATTACTTTCATATATATTATAAATTATCTATGTTATTTATCCAAAAGTATAAAAAAGCACATAGAAATTTATGAAAGAAGTACTTTTAAAATATTAATATAGTTTGAATTGATATATTTGTATAATTAAAAAAACCCAGCACAGGGGGTTTGTGGCACAGTGGTGATGTGGCATAGTTGGATCAAGTATAATGATATCTGACAGTTATTAAAATCACTATAAAAAAAAAACGCTTCGATGCAAATCTTTAGATAGTGTTTAATTTTTAAAAAATTGGTGTATTATTCCAAAAGCTACACGATCTGCTAGTTCCTTTTTTCAATTCTTGAGGGTAATGTCTTCGACTAGATACGATTTGTGATCTTTTGACGTATCGTTGAAAGAAATCCGTTCTGTGAGATCTGAGAAAGGTGGTAACAGACACAAAAAATAAAAAATAATAAACACATCTTAGTGAAACCAAAACCTTCTCAGCTTCGCATCGAAGCTAAAATCATTGCTGAATTTTAATTTTTTATATATTTCTTAATAATTTAACAAATAAATTATAAGTTATAATGCAAATTCTATAATATATAGATTAATCAAATATCATTAATATAATGATATTTGATATTTAACTCAAAATAAAATAATGTTTCAATCATCAATATTTAAATATGTTTATTGTTTATATATTTATTAATCATCAATATATATTTTTTAAATTAGATTCATACCTCCAATAGACCCAGATATAAATCAAAATGATGGAATTGAAGCTCTTAATATTATTCGTAAAGAATCTGGTTGGGAAAAAATGAACCACATAAGTATAGTTTATTTTGGTAAACAATTCAGTGTAGATCGTATAATAAATGATGAAGTTAGTAACATAAATTTTCAAATAAAAAAGGAACACGTATCACAACTATTAAGATGTAGATTTACAGAAATAATGAAAAACTATCGTTCATTATTTTCTGCAATGTTATATATATGCGATAAAGATGCCCTTAACTATTACAATAATTGTGTAATTAAATTATTTGGCTCATTCGTTAAATCAAAAACAATGCTTGAAGATTTATATGAAGCTTTAGTTACTTTAAAGAAATCATCAATATGGAGTGTTAATTATACCTCTGAATCAAATTTACAGATTGTTTTTGAATGGGTTGCAGGATTTCTCAGTTTGTTGGAGAATAATGATTTTTCTTTAAAAAATATTAATGATAATAAAAAGATTAAACAACTTCTCTACATTTTTAAAAAAAAAATTAATATTTTTAGTACTCATTTATTTAGTGAAATGAAGATATTTAATACCCTGTGCCATAAAGATGACAAATTTAAAAATGTTCAGTATTATGTAAACTATTTTAGGAATCCAGAAAATGAATCAATTAATTTAAATCCTGAGAATTCAATGCAAATTATGCTTAACGCATGTAATTTTTTTGACAATTTTTGTGAAAATGTTAGCAAATCTTGTTATAAAGATCTGGGCTTTGAAAAACTTCCACACTATAAAATAAAGAATTAGAAGCAAACTTTTTTAGCTTATATTTAATTCACTATAATCACAACTTGCACAATGATTTTTGACTTAGCGATTGTTTTACTTCCGTACATAAATAATATATATTGTTTCCGGAATATTTTATTAATATACAATTAACACTGTATAATTTTATTGAGCAATATAATCTTCAGTAATTGTATTAATGTACTATAATTATTTACTTAATTAACAAACTATCTAATATTACATCATATAATATAAGAGTTTGGTGTTTTGTATCCATTATCATTTTTCTGTTTACTTCTCTCATGAATCATACTTTTTATTGATTTAACTATGCTTAGTATGATCAGCAATGTTATAAATCATGATAATATTTTATACAGTCTTAATATAATTAAATTATGTTTTTTGTAGTTCTTATTGGTGAACTAATTACTATGGAAGCCCTTAAAAAATATTTTAAAATAAACACAAAAAAAAACCCCAGCACAGTGAGGTTACGGCACACTTGGGTCATGTCATATTTGGGTCTAGTATAATGATATCTGACAATGATTAAAAACACTAACATAAAAATCTCTTTTATTTTGTATATAATGCTCCTATTTCTTTATTTATATCTTGAATACAAGTTTTATGATTTGTAAGTGTAATATTTGAATAAATGTATAAAGGGAAATGTTGTTATTTATAAAAAGTATGCCGAATGAGAGAGGTATATAATAGTATATAATAGAATAATAGTAGTATTGAGATTCTTGATAACACTTGTTTACAACAAAATTGACCTATGACTTATGATAGTAATTTTTTATGCAAAATCGTCCACTGAGTCTGAAAATGAAGTTCAAAATACAAAAAGTAGAACAGTTTTTGAGTTATTGCGAAATTAGCGTTTTTCGTGTACTGCGAAAAAACATTTTCATTATATTCTAAATATCTTTAATTTCATTCAAACGATTTTCACTTTTTTTACATAAAATTAAATAATATTAAATTACCTATAATTTTTATCTTAAACAATTTTTTTTATTGACTTTTTGTCGTTTGCTATCTACGAATTTACCACTGAATTTTTATAATTTTTTTCAAATTGTCAGAAAAAATTCAGAGTTTTACGTAAAATACACCAATAAAAAATAATTTAATAAAAAACTTAATTTTTTTTTAATGGTCAAAAAAAGAGCTGTGCAAAATTTGGGACCGATCCGTTAAGGTTAACCCGTGCCCCCGGACCTATTAAGTTGAGTCGAAGAGTTACATTTAATAGAAATAACTGATCTATGTCTCATAACTTCTTTTTCTCTTTACTTAGAATAATAAAAGTAAAACTCAAGTTAAAGAAATTTTACAAGAAATACAAAAATAATAACTTTAATGTTGTTTTCTCAATAAATAGCGCACAAAAACACTACATACAGTAAAAAACATGTATAAGTCTTAAAATACGTTATAACTAATTTTGTTGATTTTAATTATTTATTTTCATTTTATTTTTTGGAAATCGCATTTTCGTTTAAAAAATATTCTAGAAGTTAAATTTTTTATGCCAAGTACAATAATTATATTAGATTCATTATTTTATGTGTCCACATTGCGGACGGGATGTATTTATTACATGTTTTGTTCGTATTTGTTCCGTATCATCAAGTAGTGGAAATTCTCATTAGATTATTTATTTTTAAAACTTGATTGCACAGTCGGTGGCAGATCCACATAATCACAATTCCACAATATTATATCGATTATAACATTGCAATTACGATAAAACGATATTTTGGAAAAAATACAAGTCCAAAAAAAAATTATAACGTTACAAGTCGTGTGGGAGTCAATATGACCCATTTCAACTTTGATGGATATTTTGTCATGCATTTCAGCTTCGATCCGAAGCTTAGAAGGTATTGGTTTTACTATAATGAGTTTTTTTTTTATTTTTTTATTTTTATATTTTTTTTTTGTGTCTGTTAAAACTTTTTCACAGCTCTCACCGAACGGATTTCTTTCAACGATACGTCAAAAGATCACAAATCGTATCTAGTCGAAGATATTACACTCAAGAATTGAAAAAAAATTCCCTCGTTCCCCGTAAATGAGGGAAACCTCCAAAAAAATTACAAATTTAAAAATCGCTAATTTTTTCAATTTTTTTTTACTAAAAACTGATGTAACTTTTTCAAAAATGAACATATTGACACGGCCCGTAATAGCGCACTATTAAGTTACCGTGAATTAGCACGTTATCTGGTCGTGATTATCAGCTGCCCACCGTCGCACTCATTAGTGTTGACGATAACACAAGTTTGTCTTATCCGGCGGTCGGTATATAGGACAGGTCAGGGGGTGCAGCACCGCGAGACACGTCGGCGACTATGTAATTCAATTCACCTGTGACTTACATCCGCCGCACGTGTCGTTGAAAGATAGTAATATTGATTTTCATATTGGGCTTTAATATTGTCTTTATTTACTTAATATACTTTTAATTATCTTACTTTTATTGTTATAGTTAAGAGTCTAATAAATTGAATCCACAATTACTTTAATCATAACGTCGTTACAATTTATTTTATAAAAACACCTTTATAGCGTGTCAATATCAATATAATATATTTTTTTTATAGATGCTTGATGTCTTTACCTATCATTTGGCATATAATTTTTGTAAATTTAACATATAACCAGCCCACAGTGGGGGATTTAAAATGAAACTTTTTCACAAAAAATTAACTTTTTCAACTTAACTTTTGAAAATGTTCCGGAAGGTCTGACACTTTTATAAACATCTTAAATTATTGCTAACGTAATATACTTTTATTTAAAAAAAAAAAATTTTACCTCTAGACTTATCTTTACGTCGAAAATGGCTACCAAATACTATTTTCGTGTGAAAATTCTCGATTTTATTTTTTGTATTATATTTAACTTTATAATGCTATAACTTATTGAAAAGTGTATGGATCCACACAATTTTTTTATGAGTAATAATATTTAATAAATATGTGACCATTTACTTTCCCACAGAAGGGGATTTAAAATGACAACTTTTTCACAAAAAATTAACTTTTTCAACTTAATTTTTGAAAATGTTCCGGAAGGTGTGACACTTTTATATATATCTTAAATTAAAGCTAATGTAATGAACTTTAATTTGAAAAAAAAAATTGACCTCTGGACTTGTCTTCATGGTGAAAACAGCTACCTAATGCTATTTTTGTGTGAAAATTCCCGAGTTTATAATTTACATTTTTAACTTTATTATGTTATAACTTTTTGAAAAATATATGAATCAATACAATTTTTTATGAGAAATAATATTTTTTAATAATCTCTTTTTCATTTGACATACTATATCTTAATCAGGATATTAATAAGGAACTAGCAGACCATGTAGCTTTTGGAATAATACACCAATTTTTTAAAATTAAACACTATCTAAAGATTTGCATTGAAGCGTTTTTTTTTTATAGTGATTTTAATCACTATCAGATATCATTATACTTGATACAACTATGCCACATCTCCATTGTGCCGCGACCCCTCTGTGCTGGGTTTTTTTTTTGAGGGTATTTATTTATGAAAATCTATTCAATATTACTATAAAAGCTATCTTCTAAATTTATATCTATGTACACCTTTTATGCAATATAATACATCCGTTTTTATTTATGGGGGGGTATGCTAGACCCCCACACGACTGTTTAAAGGTTAATTATGATTTTCATCAATACATAATTTGTTCATTTATTTTGCTTATGTGTCTTATAAAGGTCTAGTATAGCTGAATATTCTATATTTCTATTACCTGATATTTTATGAATGTAGTTATTTCATCAATAATTTTATTAAAAGTCGTGAACTTACTTATAAATGAGCCGGTATAACAGAAAATTATTATAGCTGATATACAGGGTGGCCCACCACTCACTGACAACTGTTGTAATAGGCCCTTCACACAACCGAACAAAATGTTTATCTGTTATTCTTTCATCTTCTACCCACACACCAATAAATTACAAAACACAATCAACACTTTCTATCACTGACTGCAGATACACACACAACTCACACAATCACGCCATGCACACACATCCGTTCCTTCCCAACATGTACAACCCCGTAGTTTTACAAAATCCTTCTACAATGTCAGCAAAATAGCAACAAAAGAATCTAAATAAATGTAAGGCCGATGGTCATGTACGTGTCTGGAAGGGGACTTTGGAAGGACACCAAAGGACTCCATGGGCTCGACTGACACTGCCTGTGTTTCGATCCAACCGACATACGAACACGTCGTGATCATCGTCCGGCTCTCTTTCGCCTTTTAAACCAATTTTGTATTTTTTTTTAGTTTTGTTTGTTTTTCTTTTACTATTATTGTATTATGTGTTTTTGATAATAAAATAATCGAAGATATTTTTTTATACAAATTGGTTATTATAATTCATACTTTCTTCATTACTCCACGAGTAAATTATTGCATCAGTGAGGATTATATAATTAAGGTAAGAACATTCCAATTTATTGTGCACGTATTTAAGATAGCAAGTGACCCTCGAACAACACACCCCGAGAAAAAGGATAATTCTTATTTTGCGATACTCCTATAAAATTTCCTTCCATCTTACTTTATCCTTTTCTTGTATACTATTTTTTTTTTGTTTTACAACACAACTTAAATAACTTTTGATCCAGTTAATATTTTTAGTTGATTTTTTTTTTAAATAATAGTTAGACGTTAGGTCTATAGCTATATCTCAATAATTAATTTTTTTACATTTTATTAAAAATATTAATTATTTTTAAATTTTAAATAAAATGTAAAAAAAAAATCTAAGATAGCTATTTTGTAGAGTAGAATTTAAGAAAAATTTTAGTAAAAAAATATCTTATTAATATTCAGTAGTAAATATTCTGTAGCGTTTTGAAGTTTGTGAAAATTTGAATTTTCATGTACTATTTTACGGTATTAAACATTGAAATACGTATTGAGAAAAGGACAGAAGAAAACGCTATCTTTTCATGATTACTGTGTATACATATGATGATAGTGTGTATACATTACAAACTTGGCATAAATACCATGATAAGAAATTAGATAAGGCAATTAATACTTATCACTCTCATTCAAAAGTATATTGAAAAGATAGCGTTATATAAAATAGTTAAAATAGTTGTTTTTAAAATGGCATATTTTTTTGTGTTCATAATAAAATGAAGTTATACAGTACAAACCCCAGAACTGAATACATGTAAAGCAATTTACGTTTTTTTTTTTTAGCACATTTTGTTTTTAACGCACAATAGTTGCCAATTAGTAATCAATTTTTTTTACTATTTTAAATTGTTCCATTACGTAGATTTTGTAATTAACTCTACTTATAAATTTTCTATATTGGAAAAACATATTTTTTTTGTATAATAAAGTTCTGTAGAATATTTATTAAATGATGTTTCCATTTATCCAGTTTTTATTTTTAGACCATCTTATACNTCCATTTATCCAGTTTTTATTTTTAGACCATCTTATACATATCTTTTTAATGTGTTGTCATAAAATAAAATTACATATACATGTAATTTTGATTGATAAAATTGAATCACACCAATTAAGGAGTATTAAGCTTCATATATATAAAAAAAAACCTGTATTTATAACAGAATGAATCATGTGAAATTACATCAATTCTCTCGTACATATATATGCATTTTCCTTCACAACATATAACATTCAATGAAAATCTACGAAACTACAGCATTTTTAGCACACAAAATTGAAGAAAAATTTTTTAATCGCGGTATTTAAAATGAAAATGCTAAACTATAAATTAGAATTCTTAAAAAGTACATCATATATTAATACATGTTATACACATCATCTAATTCGCACTCAGTAAACCCTATTTTTAAGAAAAGTTTTAATTCTTCTTCTTTTTCCTTGCCTTAAACCTAACTACTTGGAGTCAGCCAAAAGAAAAGTTTTAATTATTTTTTAAATTTATCATCTTATAAGCCTGGCTATGGGCTTAAAAATATATAATAACTGATAATTATAGAAACATAATATGTCACTAACAGATACAAAAAAAAGAAATTATTAGTTTAAGAGAAAATGAGTGGTTTGCATTAAAATAACCACTTAATATACACACTGACAATTAATTTAAGATTTTCGAAAACTAAACTTCATTTTATGTTTTAGTTTAAAATTAAGTAAAAATTACTTTTAATGATTTTTTGATTTCTAAGAGTTTAAAAATTATTAAAAAATTGTTTAATGTATATACCCGGATTTTATATTTAATCGTTGCCTATTTTTATATAATAAAAAAAATGATAAAATATATATCCATAATTCTCTAAAAATTTGAAACTTAATGGTCACAGTTATTTTGGGTTTGATTATTTTTGAAATATAAACTACTTTCTTGTTTCTTCAGTTATAAAATAAAAAAGTAGTAAGTTTAATAAGATATATAAAAGAAAAAATAATAAATTATTGTATGTTTTTGATGATGTTGCTTTTAATAATTAAAAATATTTTATGACATAAAGAAAAAAACTAACTACTAACATTAATTTTAAAAACTTTATAACTAGTAAAATAAATTTAAATCTAAAATGTCATTAATTTACTTACCCAATATTTTTCCATATTTTTAAAAAGTATCTTTTTAATAAGACTTTTATTTTATCTGAAGTTGAAAACTCACTACAACTAGAGTCAAATTGTAACTCTAATAACTGCATTTTAAAATTATAAACACCATTACATTGATCCGGTCATCAACATAAACTACTCAAGACTGGTCAATGCTTAAGCCTGCAATGTAGTTTTACCAATTATGATCATAGGGTTTGTCCTTGGTGGCGACTTCCATTCACAAAATGAAATTGAAGGCATAACAATAAAATTTTTAACAGGGATTATTCAATGCTTTTTAGCTGTGATTATCAGAAATTGATTTAATTGCTACAAAATATAACGGTATCCAGTCAATCTAAATATGTTTATATCTGAACAACGTAAAAACTAGCAGTTTTTAAACATTTTTATGAAGTTACAAATTTTCAAGAAACGGTTTGAAATAAATAATGTAGCTATAAAAACATAATTCAGATGTTATTATTTTTTAGTTTATT